CTTTATAGGATTGCAGTAGCTGTGGGAAGCCAGGTCCGTATTGACGTGGGTGTAAATTCTAGTTACAGGATGATCATCAAGTACCTGTCAGTACTTATGTTTTCCTCTGAAATAATGTGAAAAAGAGCATTTTTTGTTACAAGTTTATAACATAAGGATGAGAGCAGGATTAGGGATTAGATATGATTGGATTTGATGTGGGGTCCGCAGTGGCTGCGCGGTCTGAGGTGTGGGACCTCTGCCGCTTGGTCGCTGGGACCGTGGGTTCGAATCCCACTCAAGCCATGGATGTTGTGCTGTCCTGTGTACAGGTAGAGGCCTTGCGACGGGCCGATCCCTCGTCCAAGGAGTCCTACCAAAATGTCTAAATAGATCAAAGCCAAGGAAAAGTTGGTCCCCGCAGTGCTCAGGCACTTGAAGAACGGGTCGTTCCCAGTATCCCAGAATGTGATATAAGTGGTACACGAAAGTATTAATATGTCGACTGGGATTAGAAGCTGTGTCACAGGTCACTGGGCTCATCATCATTGATGACTTAGGGCTATTGAAGTTGGCTTTGTTTTGTGTGAATGAATTAATAAAATCTTTTGGTATGTTTTGGCGTAAGTGAAGATCGTGTTATAGGTGCATTCTGTCCGTCTGTTGCATCTTTCAGATCACGCTGTCTGTCAGCGGTCATACAAATTATTTGTCCTGCCATATAATAACTTGAGAACACTTGAATGGATTTTCACGAAATTTTGTATGAATGTTACTTCAAACTTGTGCATTTAAATTTCCTGCAATGTGACAGATGCTTGAACTTGTGAGATGGGGCAATTCTTTTGATGACACCACTACCCGCGTTTGTCATTGCCCCGATGTACGTCTGTGCACGTAAGACTGGGAAATACTTGAATGGATCTTCATAAACGTTCTTCTGTTTCAGAATTATTGTTCATTGCATTTGTTTTTCCTTGTTTCAGTATGCCCAAGAGACTCAGCACGAGAAGATCCTACGAGGTCTGGCGGTCGGCATCGCGCTAACTATGTACGGTCGTCTTGAAGAAGCTGACCCTCTCATCACAAGCCTCTGCCAAGACAAGGATCCCATCTTACGTCGGTCTGGCATGTACACGCTTGCCATGGCTTATTGCGGCACCGGAAACAACCAGGCCATCCGTAAACTTCTTCATGTCGCTGTAAGTTTTTACATTTGTGTTGGTCTCTTCTTTTACTTTCCTTGCTCCTTGTAGGAGGTCATAGGTCGTCATATATTTCGCCTCCCACACAAGTTGATAGATTTTAATAAATTTTTTGGGATGTATGCACTAGTGTCAAAATCTTATTTTCCTTTGAGACGAAAAGTTCATTATTTATTTTTGTATTTTATTAATAGTGTTTTGGTGATGGGCTTTTGTGAACATGGTGATGAACCTTCAGGTCTCATAAAGAAAGCGGGCTATTCTCTGACGAGCCGAGCGTACGGTCGACTTCTCAGAAACTATCCTGCGCCATAGAGGGAGTGACTGATCAGTAAAATTTTATACTTTGTCAAAATGCGCAAAGAAACCATCATGAGTCGCTTGTAACATTCACATTCCGCGCGTTGTTGCGTGATCGTGACACTCTGCGTTCTCTGTTTAGGTGTCGGACGTGAACGACGACGTGAGGCGTGCGGCCGTCACCGGCTTGGGCTTTCTTCTGTTCAGGTAGGGATTTCATCATCCATTTTGTTGCCGTCGATTCATTTCCCCGCTTTTAGCTATTGCAGGTGTAGATTTGTTGTAATTTTGCCGTCTGCGTGGACTTGGTAACTAATAGTGCAGCTGTTGGGTGTACAGGGTGTTTCTGAAATATGCAGCAGTGCTTTAGGGGCGTGTTCTGTTATGGTCTGCTGGATTTTTTATGCCACCGTCTTAAACACATCGCGTATGCCGTGGCAGTCACCGATATGGAAGAAATGTAGACGACGGTTAATTTGTGACACGCCTCTCATTTTTGAGCATATGGGAGAATCCTTGATGAGATTTGCTGCACGCCGTGTGGAAGGACGTAAACAACGCCGCGGCCAGTTTTTTGTAGTTCGACGTTCTCGTAGCAGGAATCTGTGACGTTGAATCAGAAGTTTGTGAACGAACTCTTCCCTGTGAATGAGTTTGCAATATTTTTTCATCTTCCTTCCAAAATAAAGTGGGTCGTAGCTCAGAGATGAATCATCCGAGGGTCTGGCCCTTTCAGTGTTTTTGTGTGCAGAACATCCCGAGATCTCGCTAGGTATAAAAATCCGCGTACGCCGCTGCACTTTGCTCCGTGGTGTGACCCTTAATTCCTAGTCGTAATTTCCATTTTGAAATTCCATTTCCCAGAGATACGGAAGA